GTCGGCGAGAACTTGGAGCGAGTGATGAGAATTCTGCTTAACTAAGTTGGTTTCAGCTGCAAAAGATATATTCTTGAGCGAGAGTTTAGCTCCAGAAGCTGGGTGCTGCAAGGGTCGCCACGCCAATAAGCGCGGGTGGCTCAAAATTAATCGGCCCGAATTAGGACTCTAGAATACCTAGATGTCGAGTATGCTTTTCGCGCTATTTTTTATTTAATATTGAGTCTAGTTACGGGGTCATTACCCAAAAGCCCCTCTTTGATGGACTTGGCGTTCTCAACAGCATCCACTCTCTAGAGCGGTTTTCCCACCACAAATAACCGCAGCAGTGGAACTGCTAACTTACTTTGTTGGTAACTCGTACTTTGTTGGTTGTTGTACTGCACCAAAATCTCACAAATCTCCGATTTGGCTGACGCTGTATTTGAGGTGATTGAACGAGTAAGTTATTCGTTAAAATGAAAATCAACACCAGCTCCATCGTGGGAGGTGTCCAAATCAGAAAAATCCATCTAACCGCAGTAATGACGAAGTTGTAGCCGAAATGTTGCACAAGTCGATGGCTTGCTTCGATTAACAATATCCGAGACATAGATTACTGAGCGCTTAGAGCTTGAAAAAAAAGTAAAGGTGACAGAATTTGTTCTTCAGCCTACAACTTCATAAGATTTGAAATGTTTACGAAGAACATATGGGCACATAGTGCATTTGATCGTGATTACACACAATTCAGGTCTTATAGTGTCTGAATCTGCAAATTGCTGTAAGGCAGGAAAGTGCTGTAATATGGTCCAAAGTGACAAAAATACGGATCGTGCTTTAGGAATATCGCCTTCAATTGCGAAATGATGGTAGAGAAGACGTTATAATGAAACTTTTCTCATGCGTCGTCTAAAAACTTTTCCAATACTTTGTTTTTGTCTAAATGGTTTGATTATTAAGGGGAAAAATGTGGTCAATGAAGTATTTCCTGCAGACCAAACTCTTGGATAGGATAAGAACTGAATCTTTGAGTGAATTGAAAGAGTGAACCATGACCATCTAAAATGAACTCGAATTACATAATTTTCAAATCGTCAGCCAGAAGCAAAACCTTAAAAACTTGAGAATGCTTCAACAGGAACCACAGGAGTATGTATAAATGCCTGAAGGTAATTGGAAAAAGAAGTAAGCGAGGCTGTTATTTGATTGTTAATGTTTATGCCATGTTTACTGCGCAAAAATACGGTTCAAACTCTCTTTTGGTGCTCTATGAAAAATTGATAAGCACTATCGAGAAATTCTCAACATCATCTTCAAATGTCCGCTAGTACTAAAGTCCATTGAAGGAGCATAATGGGGCCATAACAGACTAGAGACTTTGTGTATCTTGAATGAGGCTTCACAAGATCCGGAAATGGGTTTTCAGATTTATAGGCTGACACTATGATCATTTGCTAGTCGTGAGCTTCTGAGGGCAAAAATCCCTCATCTTATTCCTAGAAATTAGTTAAGCGTGTCTAGAATCAACTATAAAATCTCGTTTATGCAAATCGATTCTCTCATCGTCTTGCCAACATCTGTTCCCCTATATATGTGTCTTTATTAGCGAAATTCGCTAGCCATCTGTCCCTAGCATTCGAACTGGCACGGCGGGGCGGCCCTCCCACATCGTCTACCACTAATAACTGATTGATTAGGGGTCCAGAAGGTCGTTAGAGTACTTCGAATGGCTTTATAATCCGATTCTCTGCAAAGGCCGATGAAAAACCCCGAAAAAACTACTGCAACTGCACGCGAATGCACTCACTACCATCTTTGCTTTCTTTCCATCAACCTTTGGAAATGATCTAGTCGATAAATGAAGATTGCAAAAGTAGTAGAAACAAACCCCCCCCCCCTCCCCACCTCTTCGCATCCCCACTTCCATCGTTCTCTTTTTTGGATAAAAATACATTGCTGCAATCGACACAAAATCTAAAATGCAAAGAGCTTGTCATGAATACAAACAAAAAGATTTATTTTGTGCTTTATTCCTAGCTAAATGGCCCTTTTCGCACAAACACAGTTTTTTTATGCAACATAATCTATATTTCTCAGCCGTACACGAAAATATATTCAAAGAACAAGCTAACGTAAATTTGAAATACAGGTTTCAAAGAATAACGTCAAAAGTTCAGCCGATAACGAGCTGATTGCATTTCCAGCTCGGGTTTACATGAGTTATTCAAATGATGAATGATGAATAAATAAATAATTACATCAAAAATGAAGCCACTTACTCCAAGTATCCTGCATAAATATCAAGTCGCGAAAAAATGGTTATTTCATTTTGTCGTGGAAGAAATTGTACAGCCTATGGCTGGCTGAAAAGTTTTTTTAACCAAGCAATCCAAATCAATTCATCACAGCAAGTTGATCGCCCCTGTTCATGAGTTTTCTGGAAGTGTTGCATTCCTCATAATTTTCTACTATATGAAAGGAAACTGTGTGGATCTGTAACGGCATACTGCAAGCTGTCCTGTATCCGGGGAGACTTTTTAGCAGAAACGGAGCGATTCTGAGAAATAATTAGAAGAAAATCGGCTAAAATTTTCACTAATTATTGAACTTCCAAGCTTTCTTAATAAAATATATTAGAATTGAAATGAGCACACCCAAAATGCAATTGCGGCGAATTTCGCATTCACGCGATGCCCATTAGCCATGCTGAGTGCTTATCTTCAATGAATCACACAAATTTGCATATTTTAAGTTGTACGAGCGTATGCTCATCGTTGGGAATTTGTTTTTCCCAAAGGTTCAAACAAATGAAATTGACTTTTTCGCATTCCTTGCAACAGACTTATCTTGCCATTCTGTCGCAAAAAGTAAAAGTAATGTGAACACAACAATGGCAGTGCCTACTCTTCAAAATCTCAGTATTTTGTGATAATTTCGAATGCGAGAGAGTGACATCATCAGGAGAACCTGGGACATATCCAAAGAGTATTTCTCGCATGAACACGCGTGATCTTGCTTGGATGATCCATAACCACTGATTCGTATACCTGAAAAATATGATTTTGCAGCTTTGAGCAAGTTCACTTCATATTCTACATTAGTAGCATTTTCACTACCAAATACCGAGCATTTTTTGTATTCTACGTGACTTGTACATGTTGTTTTTCACTTGCTTCTCAGTTTACTTGAACGAAGCAGCAATTTTTAATATAGTGAAGTACAATCTTCCGGTTGTCAGAATTCATTTGGAGTTTCCATTATTTTGGCGGAAACTCTCGATCTCCCCAATATTTCAATGAGATTACCGCGTTCAGATTGATCGAATAGTATTTAGTTTTTAGGACGATAAACTACGAAACCATGACATATAAATTATTTTGGATGATCTATACCGAATAAATTACTTATACATTAGCAATTTTCTCTAGTTGGAGTTTTTTGAACCTTCATACCTACTCAAGTACTAAAGTAAGACCTGCCGTATCTCGCTGGGCCTGTCGAAAATCCTAACAAGGGAACAATCCCTATTTAAGGTGGCGAACTGGAATGAATCGCATATTGTTAGATGCGTCTTGACGAGCTGATTCCAAATCTACCTTCCTTATCTGCGATACCTTCTCTGAAGAAGTTATGAGCGGTTAAAAAGGCGGTTAAAAAGTCATGGGGGTTTCAATGCGTAATGTGCTATGAAATCCAACTGAGAGTGCATGACTAGCATGATATTGAGTGTACTGATTTCAAGGAATGCTCACATTTACAGGAAACGCAAACAAGTATTCTTGAACAGCTACAAAACAACTAAACTTCTTTGGTAAAAGCTAGCAGCAATGAAAAGTCTGAATATGGCATACATACAGCGCCATACCTCAGAAATACCTGCCATACCTTTCACGGATTCTCAACTTGATATTCAGAATCAGGGACAGAAGAAGGCCCCGGAACGAGCGAAAACATGGAGGCCGAGAGCTGGGGAAGGTGCGTTTGAGTTGAGATCATCCCTTGTTAGAAGCGACCCACAATTTTCGTTGAAAATCAGACATTCAATGCATCGACTCTAATAAGATTGTTATGAGACTTGCTTTCTAAAGCAAATTTTTTACTCAAATGTAGCAACTTTACAGTTTTTGCATTGCTCAAGATACAAGCCCCTTTCTTCTATCTGAACGCTAATAAAGCAATTTCAACGTCTCCATCTAACATTATGCGCCATATGAATGTGTTAATTCCACTGGAGTTCCTGAAATCAGAATGTCGGATCTGAACCCAGTCGGCCAATCGCTGATCAGCCGAATGAAATACGATCAACACTACTTCAATCCCGCCTGCAGTTGGTGAACTGGTCCTTCCAACATATATTACTGCACACCGTTCGAGGATCGTATTTAGGAAAGGTGAAATAAAAATTAATTCTCTCATCTTATTTTTGATACACTAGTCGCTTGAGGAGAATGTCAATGGCTTTGCTTGAAGACCATGGCTGGCCCAAAAATCATGAATAACATATGCTTAATCGTCATATATACTAAGTGTATTTATTGCACGTAAATGGAGATAATAAAGACGCGGGAGATAGAGAGGTGAAGTGATGATGATGTGTGTGTATGTATGCTGTCAGTGCACGCACATTAACAACAATACGATCCATAACATATAAAACTGGGCATTGCCGAGAGAGCTCGATCAAACTACGAAATTTTGCATAAAATGTGTAACATAATATGTATAGCGGAGGAGAAACGATAAACAACGCAAATACAGATGAAGAAAATCGTAAGTATGAGAGAGAGTTTGATCAAAATCTGCCGATGAGATTACAATAAAGCCACAATTCTAGTGGAAGACAATGCGGGCAATGCTGCTAGCACAGAATTGATGATTTTTCCAAGGATTGCTGACTTCTTGTAGTACTCTCAAATATTCTCGATCATCTGATTCTTGAAGTACCACGGGTTTTACACCCCTCGACTCTACATAACGCACAGGGCCGCAAAAAAAGCTGATCAAATGACTTTTCCTACAAAAAAATGACGAAAAGAGGTATGAAGCGATAACAGTTTAAAGCAAAGCCAAAGTCATAAATGAGGATGAATTTTCGAAAGAAAAATCAGATGATCGGAGAATTTTGCAGTGTCGTGCGGATAAAGACGAGGGTAATTTGTCAAGTGACAAATTATAAGGGTATTTTGGCCCAATTTTGACCTAAAATAGTTCCTAAAAGATCATGATCATCAATTTCTTCTCCAAATTCCCTGCGCTATCTCAAAAATTGAAAAGTCAGCAAATCCTCTCAAAATGAACTTGGTGCATTTCAGTCCTATCATAACATAGTAAGAACAACGTGGAACATAAAGAAGTAGTGCAAAATCACTGATCATACGAACAAGAATACTGTAGCGACAAAGATCTAGGATACTGTATGTGTGCGGTGTGTCTGAATTGAAGCGACAACAGCTGGTGCCGTTGACTCATTTTAGCACATACTAAACGAGAACGAGGAGCGCGTTTCTTTGTGTGGCATTTCCGAGAGAACACGTAAAAAATCAAACAAACAATATACATAGTGACGACAAAATGAGTGCATGAATAAAACAAATGAGGATAGCACGACAAAATAGACACAAATAAGAAAAATGACATGACGGGAGAGAGAGCGTCCGCATACGTGTGATAAAACAAATGAGATTTATAAAACACGCAAAATGCGTCGAAAATGTGAAAATGGAAATTATTAAGTGGTAAATAAGATTATTAGGGAAATCTACGTACTAAAACCTCAGCCTTCGAGCTACTGACTCTACTCAGTTCGAGGTGGCCGTACCGGCGAGGTTCATTTCCTGATCATTATCCGCAGGTAGTTCGCCCTCAATCACCCCGGAATTCTCGTCCGAACATCCGAACAGGTTGTTGAGGAATGGCAAATTCAGCTCCTTGATGCTCAATATCTCTGGGGCTCCCACTAGAACAAATCCATTTGAAAATAGTTATTGTAAAAACCTGATCAAAATATTAGTTGATTTTACCTGCTGGCTGCAAATCCTCTTTTGGCTCTTCTACTGGAGCCGGTGGCTCTTGTTTCACTTGGTTGTTCATATTCATCATCATGTGATGACTAAGAATATTTTGAGTCATCATATCGGCCATAAAACCACCACCAGTCAGCGAGGTATTTAAACTATTCAGCTGATGTCGCCCAAGATTTGACAGACTGCCGGCAGGCAAGCCAAGTTCCATTTCCTGTAAATGCTAATGAACGATATCTTGGAATAAACTCTCCTAAACAGGAAATACTGTACAAAAAGAGAAGAGAACAGGAAAGGATCTCGGAAGAAAAAGGAAAGTTTTTACATACCTTTTGCCTCTCAGCGATTCTGGACACTAGTTTCATAGCCCATGTAAGTTTCAGTTTTACGTGGCCTCCGTGCTCTTCTAACAATCCAGGTGCCTAGAACATGTCATTTTTCAACAACAACAGCAAATATCAAGTGATTTAATATTCCAGAAATTTTAAGAATGACCAATTAATCAAAAACATTCCATAATAGATGTTAATCATTGCTGAGAGATAGCATCATACCTTTTCAAGAATGTACTGCTTGGCAATTATCAGCGCTTGTGATGCGGTCAAATGCCCATGCGGATCAGCCTGTTTTACCGTAACCATATAGTCGACGAGATCAGCATCCAGTTCATCACCTAAAAAGTTGGCTTCATGATTATGGTCAGTCGTTAATCAACGAAACCGGTTCATATTGAAGCTAATATAGTGAATCGTTAAAAGCAAATAATGTGAGCTCTACGTCATAAAAAAAATTAAGTGGGACATTGCCCGAGCTTGAATTTAGGTATTTAATGCCCGCTGGTATGCGGAAAGAAAAACTCAATGAACATCAAAAAACGTCGACTGCAAGTAAAGCACACCAGAAATAAATTTCTGCTCACCAATTAGTTTCGGGCGTCCTCGCCCTCGTCCTCGCAGGAAACCTGGGGATCCTGTCGCATGAGCAGCATTCATTCGTAGCATGTCTACCATAGCCGGTGTGAACATTCCGGGTGTAGCCGCTTGTCCAGGAGCCGCTGGACCAGAACCTGTCGCCGCTGCGACGGCGGCTGCTGCAGCCGCCTGAGCTTGAGGTTGTGAAGTAGGTAGTGCGCTTGGAGTAGGAGGCTGGAAATAATAAAATTATGCCAAGAAATCGGACAAGCTAATCCGAGCAAGATTTTACCTGTTGCTGTAGGGCCGCCATTGGATTGTTGGGAATGGAGGCAGGCGCTATTTGTGATGGTGTAGGAACGTTATTTTCTGGATTGTTTTGCATTTGGTTTCCACCATCACCCTCTCCTTCCGACGATGGTCCCGGCGATGCTGTCATAGCTCCAGCAAGAAGTGCTGCAAACACAAAACAATCTTTTTCCACAACTCTTCTTACAAAAGCACGACACCCTCACTATTTCCGCTGTCTTTTCTCTGATAGTAAGTGGAGACAGGTGGCGCAATGCCGAAACGTTTCGCCGCAGCTGCACCACCGTACGCTCTAGCGTATTCGGCCACAGCTCTTCGATCGGCTGCTGCAGCTGCTGGAAGTTTTCCACCACCCGGGTGACCAGCATAACCTGCAAAGAGATCTAAAACTTCGTTGAACTAGCTGATAAAAGCTTAAGATCTTTTAGCTCACCAGCTCCCATCCGTTGTGGTGCCGGTACGGGTGTTCGATTCAATTTTGTCAAATCGGCCAAGCCAGACAGTTGTTGCGGTGTTGCGCCGGGGAATATTGCGGACAGTACATTTGACACTTCCTCCTGAAACTTTTTCCATTTTCCCTCGACTAGCCACTACTTCTATACATTTAATAGTATGCAGTGTGTAGCGAAGGCAATGTGTGTGCCGCCTCAGGCAAACATAATGAGATGAAAATTGACCTTCGGCCGCGTGTCGTTCAACGAGTTGTGCTTTGGACCGCATGTCTCACACATACACGGCGTCACATGCAACGAACGCATGATTCGAGTCATCTGCAATTGAAACTATCAGTTATGTGTTTACGATGCGCAGTGTCTGTAATTACATGGAGATATGAAAATGGGAAACAAACTAAAAAATTGCTTTGCCTCAAAAATGGAAAATCAAATAATCAAAACGAAGATGGCATATCACTACTGTTTATGCCGATTGTTTTTTGTAACAAACATAACCAAATCGATTACATTAAGGCAATTCACAGGCTTTGCATCGTAACTTCAGAAAAATCTCAATCATTTAGAAACCATACAAGTTGTAACTTTTGAGTACAACTATAGAAACCTCCACTGATTTTGCACTCCTTTGGAATGAAAAAGACCTTTCATTTAAAAAAGAACATTGGAGGTGGCTAGGCGAGTTCGACTCTGCATTCTATCTACAACGAAAAAATATGTGTACTGCGATTTGCTGATGGCAAAAAGTGGAGGTCACAATTTTTCATATGAACCATCATAACAAGATCTAGTCTTCCAACTTTCCAGACTCATTTATTTGTCCGCTCCATATGAAAAAACACACTTGTTAAGTTCGAACAAAGAAGCAAACTGCAGCAAAAATGCATTTTTTGCTGCACACGGAAGCTATTGTCAAATTTGGCTATTCAATGTTTCACTTTTTGATAAGATACACCGTTTCTGGATAAACACCAGAAGAAATTTCCTAATTCCAGCAAAAGCGTATCTTTTTCAGTTTTCCTTCTCTAGCCTTTCCAGCTTCTCACTTCCCTGATATTACGATCGCTATCGTAGCTGCTATGACCAGAGAAGGAAGAGGGGGAGGGGAGAGGGGGGGGGCGCAAATGGTTCGTGAAATTTTGAAAGTTATTTTTGAGTTATAAGAGTGTGCAAGTGGCTTGTTTAGATTTGTAAATAATCAAAACAGCTTTTACATTTTTTTGAAAACTGACCTTAGCCTTGTAAAAAAAGTTTACAGGGGTCGTGATGGTCGCCACGACCCAGCGGAAGTCCTGGGACAGCCACGACTATGACCGTATTACATTACCAAGACACCAAAAGTACATACATTACTAACCCTACACCGGGTCGTATCTTTATTTCGATCAGTCTTCACACAGTTTCGTCACCTTTTCCGATCGCCAGACCACGAGAATTGTCTCTCAAGGTCTTGCCGGCGACCCCACACGCGATTGTTTTAGATTATTTTGCACTCTTTCTTGAAAATCTCCGAGCTTTACGGCAGAAAATTATCTGCCCCCAGCTTGGTCCATTGCGATCCGCTGTTAGTCACCCAAACAGCATTAGCCGCGGACACGAAAACGTTGTTTATAGTTGGAGTGATGGAGGCTGTTGTCAATTATCGTTTCTTGCAATACTTTAAACCCTCGATCAATAGCAGTTATTAGTCGGATGGGATGGCGAGTCGCGAAAGGCGCAGCTCGCGACCACGACGAGCCGATCCGGAATGGCAGAAGGCCTCTGGCTTCTGGCACTCGCTCTCTCCTCTTCTTCTGCTCATGTTGCACAAGCCAATGAACAGAAGCAGAGGAGAGGAGAGCCAATCAAAACTTTCGAGCAGCGAAAACAAATTTGCTGCACGAAATAAGCCACATAAATTAGATCTGCAACGCAATTTCTAGAGATTTAGATGGAGAATGCTCTCGATTTTGCATGTAAACAACGAACGAATGGATTTTTATGACTGCATAAAAATTATGGCTCATCATTCCAGCTAATGTAAAGCCTAATGGAAAGTGAAAAACTGTGGCGCTCGTAAAAGTATTGTAAAAACGAATTCACTGCAAACAGGGCAAAAAAACCAGAATCATAATTTGCAAAACATGGTTCAACCTCTTCACCTTTTTTGATCAAGAAGTTCCATGTTGCTATTGCTTTTTGAAATATTATTTTCTTGCAAAATATAACACTTCCTACATTTCAGTTTTGCCTTTGCAGAAAAAGAGTCGCGCACCTTCAATTCTATAAACTTCCCGTGTTTTAACGGATAAGATTTCTTAAGAACAAAATCAATAAAGACCCCTTCTGTTTTTACAGTAATACTGAGCGTTCGTAATGCATTGCCTTTAGTTCCTTATTTTTTTTTCAGATTTTCCATGATAGAAAATCAAACACACAAATCAATTTTCTGAAGTTCAAAGTCTTCAGACATCCAAACTTTCAATCAGAATTCCATCCCCCTAATTTTCCAAAGTGTTCGCCACTAAAATGACAGGCTTCGGCATTCACATAACTTAAAAAACGCACACTAAACGAAATATGAAAAGAATTGAATAGGCAAACGTGTACGAGAAATGCACGAATGCGATTTAGATCAAGGACATTCAATTATAAATGAAATGAATGTCTGAGCACCAAGAATTACACGTACAAAACACAAATCTCCTTAGACGGCCAGGACCGACGATGGTCATAAAAATTAAAGTGCGCTCCCTCGTCAAAATTCATCGACCGCGTTTGAATAGCTGCTTGCGCGCTTTACGATGCGAAAACAAAGACAAATGGCGACGTGCACGCACAGTTCACTTCAAACGACGAGCCCAGCCAGCTATACATATCGAGTAACCAACTTGTTGATTATTTTGGTTAAAGCTAAAATCTGACAAATTATGTTTGTTGAAAATACAAAAGCGACGAAGTGCTGCTTCGACGCTCTGAGAGATACGGAGTCTAAAACTAACTAGCGATACTGAACATACTGCAAACTTCAGCAACAGGCGCAGCAGTCTATTTTCAAAAGGAAGAAAAATTGGAATTTTGGCAAAAACTGGAAGATCATGACCAGAACTTGTTCCCGTCTCCATTCTCCATATTCAGTTAAAAAAATTCAAAAGTCTCTCCCCTGCTCGATTTGTCTACTGACTTTTTCCAAAATAAAACAATTAGCATTGTCAAAACTTGCACGCAAGCGTATCAAATTTTTGTGATATTATTTTTCAAAGATACAAACAATCGATTCGATAATCCGCTCAAGTTGTCAGTTTGTTATTTTGTATAGTGAAAAAAAATCGCAGAGCTGCATAGAAGATGGGTAGCTGCTGCGACCATTTACGCCTGAAACTATTGAGCTATTCCTCCCCACTTACATTATTGAAAAAAAGCTAAGAAAAGCTTGCAGCCCAGAGCTTTCAAAACTCTTATTTTTGGAATATTGACCCATGAAGTCATCAAAAATATGATAGATAAAAATCCCCTGGACAGTGATCCAATGTACTCATTTAGTTTGACTAGAATGTATGAAAAAATCTTCTTATCAAAAATTGCAGTAAGACGTTCGAAGATTATGGAAGTATCTGGCTGCAAGTACAAATTTCGCTTTGACTATTTTTTGCTTTCTTCTACAGTACTTTCTCGATATGTTGAGATATGGGGACCCCCCCCCCCCTCTCTCCGCTCTCCTCCCTCCAAAACTCATTATAAACCGCCATTGCTCACCCTTACCCAAAACCCCCGTATGACTTTCAAAATGCTAGTCGCGTTAGTCATCAGGCAATGTTTCAACGCTGCCCCCCTAGCCCCGCCCACTCTACGCTATGCGCTTAGCGGAGAGGGTGAAATTCGATTCGGACCCTTGCGAGTGGTCGAAATAAAGCGAGCAGCGATCATCTCAGCGGTTGAGTGGTTTCGAAACTGTTGCGCTCTGAGCAATCATTGCGTCTTTTCGCCTTTTCTAAATATCTTTCACAAACTAGACAAATAGACGAATTGCGGGCAAATCACTATAGTACCGATCATTGCGGAAGTATAACGAAAAAACACACACAATGCGCCGAAAGTTGATTTTTCGCGACGTCCCGTAAATTAGTGAGCGTCACAAAGACAATATGACCCGAAATGCTAGTCAGTTTAAAAAGTAAAGTCCAAAAGTCAGAAAAGAATCGAGAATTATTTGACAAATTTTGAAAAAAAATAAAAAAAGAAACCTTCACATACCTGATGTGATATATAAACAAAATTGTTCTTCAGTTCAGCCACTTCTTGTGATAATGACAAATTTTGCTGCTGTGAAGTGGAATCGCCCGCTGATCCATTTACCATCATTCCACTCATCGGATCATCGTCCAAATCCTGAATTTAAGCAAACATTAGCCCACAGCCAAACGCATTTCCGTCTTAAGTGCAAAGAAAAGCACAATGAACTTTTTCCAGATTAACTTGGGAGCCAATGAAAAAACTTAGAAAAGAGAAAGGACCAAAAAAGGATGGAGTCGACTACCCACAGAGCTGAAAATGCGGATAATGCAAAATGCAGCAGAACGACATTCACAAAGCATATATGAGCGCTAGTCCTGGCGTAAATTCTCGTATATTATATTCATTATTATATGTGACATTAGATTATATTACATGATTTTTGCGCTCAGTTCGCTATATAATGATGGCAAGAGTATTCATAAAAGGAAAAAATGACCAATTCATTGTTTTGATGTGCGACATTGTCTAAGAATTGCAGATGCTCCGTTCAATTAAATTTCTCAATGGCGATGAGAAACAAATGCAAACAAAAGGAAACTGTACGGTTATTATGAAAGACGAAGGGGGAAGAAAACATAAAACGTCCATACCATATTTAAATCATTCCACATTTGCTAGTTCTTATAGATATTGCCATCATTTTTATTTATTCTCGAAGAAAAAGGAATGTCGTTTTCGCAAGCCACATAGATTGACAGATGGGAATTATTCAAGCAGACGTCATGGCAGCGAAACATATGGACAGATATTGAAAACAAACAAACTTAGAATATTCGAGAAAGAAAAACAAATGCAAATCATTTTATCGACTTTCATTTCTTTCGAAGCTTCACAGCGTCTGTAAAAAAAAGCGCACGCAAGCACAAAGAAGATTTCGAGAAAAGTTTCGAAATCCGATTTTGAACACAAAAAAATCATTCAGCTAGTCTTGTAAAACCACAAGATTATATACATATCATGATTCCTCATGGTTTACAATGTAAACAAATCTTCACGAGTTCAATCGCAGAATTTAGTTGGTAAATTTGAAAAATAAACATTTCTTTTCAGAGTACGCAAGAACAGTGAGTACGAAGCTGGAAAACTTAGCGGCATCTCAAGCGATCAGTCCTACTGGAACGCAGCCAAAAGTCTGTCCGCTCATAGTCAGTCGGTTTTGATTTTTTCCTTTCGTAAACCCTAAGAGCTCTAACAAAATACGATAACCACCCTCATTCTAACATCTTTTGCCACCCTATTGAAAAGGGGTATATTCATCATGTCGGCGGCTCAACTGAAGGTCTAACAAAGAAAATTTAGATGCCTAATTGCGGGGTCTGTCGATCTTACACAAATGAACCCCCAACCCTCTCTCTGCTCCTCTCTAATATGGCAAATAAGAAGTGCGAGCCTTATAATTCAATTAATAATGTAAGAATCGATTTTATCTACGCTTCAAATCCAAAAGCAAATGATCAACATTAAAGATGCGCGCAAATTCTTCTTCCTAAGAGAATTTAAAATAAAATGGATGTGATGAACGAGGAGAACAGGGTCGCGGGTTAACCGGTACTACTCGGTACAGCGTATCTTATTTATTTTCTACTGCCGCTATAGAAAAAACAATCTCTTAGACAATTCGATTATGATGCATTTGACAGAGCGTCGGCGATAAAGGCAAAATAATAATCTTCTCACATGTAAATTTTTGAATCGAGAGGAAGAGAGAATTAGTAGAGGCAAATAAAAATGTGGGACAAAAAACTCTTTCATAATCGTTTTCAATTTCATTCCCATAGCTTTGTAAATACTTATGTAAAACGATGTTCACATTCAAATCCCTTCCCATAAAGCACACGAAAATTCACAAGGCAAAAAAAACAAGTTACGTAACCGAGTTGCAACTTAAATCCTGAATAGAAAGATAATCCACTAGAACAGATAAGAAACATAATCTCAAGATTTGCAAGCTAATCAAAAATAAGGAAAGAAACCCACTGTTTCTGAAACTACAACGACGCTTATAAAACCCAAAATGGAAAAACCCGTGCCTGGAAACTATCATAAAACCTTGCAAAGTACGCTGAATGCACGATTGAAACATTTGTAAAACTAGCATACTATCATCCCTTTCAATGTTTTATAGTGCATGGGATTGTACATGAATGATGGAACATTTGAAAAAAGTGCAACAATCACATTTTGTTCATTGGACAATTTTTTTCCAATACACTAAAGTTTTTGCAGCAGAGAGGGCAAAGACTATGCCACCTTTAGTCAAGAGGTCAAATTCAGTCAACCTTCAGAATGAAATTCCTATGTGGTTGCAATCCATCTTTATGAGACGACCATTCAAAGGCCTTACCCTAGAACTATTTGAGTAAGTCCGCATACAGTACGTCCACGAAAGTTTGAATTTTCGATTTCGAAATCCAAGATAAAGGCTTGTTGGTTGCGTCAGCCAAAAGCTCTTGAAGAGCTCTTTCGAAAAGTGTGAAAATTATGACGATACATGATTTTACTACAAAAAAAAAAACGCCGAAGAAAGAAGATTTCTTTAGCGGTGCAGTAAAGGCTAAGGCGGAGGTCAGATATCAGAAACGATTTGGCCATAGCTTCAGAAAGAGCAATCGAGCCTCTCGATTTGCATGAAAGTCCTATCATCTTAACGTTATGCAGCTACTGCATAATTTTTAGATCCAGCTTTCAAGAAGAGGATTTGTCCAGATTTCATGAATTGATAGCTCAGATCTCTGGATTCATGAAGCTTCAGATTTTGGCATCTCGCAACGATTTTCGCCATTTCTTCGTGCAGACTATGGAACAGCCTATTGGTACCAGTTGCCGGAGACCCCATTCACAGAGCAAAGAGCCATCACAGACATCGATGACCAACCAACAAGTATAACTTTCTGTAGTGTATTCATATGTGCTCGGCTCCGTCAACGCTGCTCTCCTCTCCTCGCTCTCCGCATTCGCCTCGTTCTCGCGCTCTCAGCACAATACAAACTATTATTATCGCAAATAGTTTGCACAAATATGAATCATGGCGCATTTATTCGTTATTGATGTAGAATGGTGATTCAGATTTATTGTGCTGCTGCTCTCTCCCTCTATCGCTCTGCTTCTCGATTAACACGTTGACGACGAGCCATTTTTTGAAGGTCTGTCCCTGTGGACGAAACGTTTCCGGGCATTTTCACAGCCGGCTGCATATATGTATGCATGCATCTATGCGTGAGATACAAAAATGCAAGTGGGTGGGGAAGCTCCGCCCACTTTTGGCAAGCCCCGCCCACTTTTCAAAAATGCTGGAAATCGCTCAAAATCGATGAATTCGTGCAAATTCCGCCATTTTTTAAAAGTGGGCGGAGCTTGCCAATCAGGGGCGGAGTTTGCCTGACGGTGGGCGGGGCCCGTATAAAAGCTACTTGAGGTCTTTGCGTTCATCTACGGCCTCATCCATGCTTTTTATGAACAAAAAGGGTCCGTGTGAGGAGTATAGAAGTGGGCGGAGTTTGCCAAAAAGGGGCGGGGCTAATACATGAGATACATCTGAGCCTATGTTGGTTATATGAACAAAAACTGAGAGGATTGGACAGATAGTATTGAAATTAAGGCCGCCGCGCACCATTGCGCGGCGTCGTCCACAGGGACAGACTACCTGCCGCGCACCATTGCGCGGCACTGTCGTCAACGTGTTAACAAATAGGCTAACAGCTGTACAGCTCTTTGCTGACGTGCATTACGCTTGGAAAATCCACATTCTTTATGGATTCCACTCGGCAAAAAAGCTTTTCTAAGCCTCCATAAAACAAATTTGTGCAGATAACACAATTTCCAGCGAGATAAGAATCTTTAACCAAGAGAGCGGTAGAGAATAACGCGGCAGTTTGGTTTAATAGTGTAAAAGTGCCTAGTCAGATAGCGAAAAAGTGCGCGTAGGCCCGAACAGACCAGTTCCGAAATACGAACTACACATGAATATCGATCGCTAAATAAACCCTTTTCGAACTGATTGACGGCCAGCCGACTATGAACTGAGGATCCGCGACGCCGTGCAAATTTTGAGGTGCAAATTCTGTCTACACGCAAAATATGCACTAACGTTTGCATGGACACAAAGTAGCAGCAGATGGACGACGATGTTCGAAATGGACGAAATCGGCAAGAAAGCCGAAGGACGCGCAAAAGGAGGCATCATGCCGTGATTTTGCGTAGAAAAACGCAAATGGATGCTCTAGGGCTTTCATTTTGAAATTATGCAAGGACAAGCGGCAATGCGAACGCCGAAGTTGAACAAAAAAGGAAGTATCCGCAAAAGTCTGCCGAAGAAGCCGCGACTATAGATGACCTGATAATTTTGCAAATTGCATGACTACTATCTCAAATATGGCTTTCGCAAGCACTTTTCAATCCCCCACTAATTTGGACAAGGGTAATGAGTAAGTCCACTAGAAGCCACTCGACTCGAATTGTACTGACGATTCCCAACAAGAAGAAAATTCTAAAAGCTGCATCATGATTTGATGTATCTGGAGCCAAGCATTAGAATAAATAAAGCGCAGAAAACCAGAATTTGAAGGGCGAACAAATCGAAAGCGATTAGAGGCAAAAACTAGAATTAGTGTATTAAAAAGAGAGCGAGGCGTATTAGCGTTTGGAAATTCATAAAATCAAAAGAAGTCAGTCACAAATAGATGTGGAATACTGTTAAAAATGCAAACATTCAAATGAATCTTTCATGTATCTCGATTCCGTTATTTCTGTTGTGAATGCGCTCACGTGACTAGCAATGTTTATAAGGACAGCGAGCGCCACAAAATTAGTAGATTCATTGTTGGTTTACAGAATAAGTATAATATAATTTTATTAAATAGCTGCTTTCATTCAAATGTAGTGAAATCTAGTGCATCACGTGCAAAGGACGTGAGTCAGCACTTTTTGCGATAGCGGAGGGGCTGAAAGAGCAAAACAACCTAAATAGGAAAACGTCTTACTCAATAACAACGAAATCAATGCATTTTGAATGTATGCCGGTGACTTAGCTGTACTAACATCGCAAAGCAAAACACCTCCCCGAAATTTTTAGTTCCAAACTATAACTGAGAAGCAGCTTCCTTTGTCTCAATGAAACAAAAAAATTTGGTGCGGGTACGCAATATAAAAGAAGAAACCGATATCATACAAAAATGCGACCTGATAGCTAGATCCTTTTTTTTTTCAAAAATTACAAAAAATCACTCAAACTTTTCTCGGCGATACAAAAGTCGCCGACACAATTCACGCACGTAATTCAGCGGCTATAAAGGATGAGCAAAGGTCAAGCAAGTTTTTCGACGGCATATGAGTCGGAAGTCATGAATAATAAAAGAAGTCGAGAAAACTCAACTGACCTGGTGCTGATCGTCTCCGCTTTGTGAGGGGGTGGCCGAGATCGACCTGTCAGTAGAGCACTGTCTGTCCGTATCACCAGCATCGTTGCTCTCTCGGGCCCCATTGAGAATACTAGCTGGACTGACCATAAGGCCATTGAAGCCAGAGGCATTAATTACTGGTAAGCTCGACATTTGCACATCCTCTTCCCGAAACATCTGAAAGCAAAGCGATTTGAGTGTAGAGGGGCTAGCGTTGAGCCATTGGAGAAAATGCGCCGCTTTCAAATTGAATTCGGAGATTAAAAAGACATAGAGGGACGAGGAGCGCGAGAAAGCAGCGAGTTCGACGCAGACATAACGCGAAGAGCGCGAGACGAAGGTCGTCGTACATAAAAATTCGAAGCGGAACTCGTCGATTTAGCTAAGAACACACGCAAATAAACGACGAAGACGTAAGAGGAATTCGTGAGCACAGTGTATGAACAGAACAACCATCAGCACAACCAGCCCAACTACAGCACATACAGGGTTTTGGAGGAGGTCTGCGGTGGCTGCGTTGAGCTGTGTGAGACGAACAGACCGTAGCGAAAAACAATTACAAAGACAAATAAAAATAGAAGAACGATGCTCACAGCGAATAACACATTTCAACGATGAATGTGGCCGAATAGGATGGTGGGTGAGGAGATGTACGAATGGAGAAAGAGCGCATAAAAACATCGTTAAGAGGTAAATCATCGCAAAGAAGACGCGGCTGCAAAACACCGATACATCTTTGAATTTCCGCCGGTTCTGCTCGGCACGCACATTATGGCTTTTATGCAATGTGCATCATATTTTATACGAATATCTCGCCAAATGGTAGAGTTTCTCAATCTTTCTTTTGTGAACTGAAATTTCGAAAAAGTAAAGTGCTACCCTAATTCGTAAAGTACATCAATGTGTCAAAATCAACTCAAAGAACTTCAATTTTTTGTTTTTATAACGATTTTAGCACTCAAAGCCCTTTTGCATGCGAACATACTTGTCCGATTCAAGAAAGTTGACGGTACAGATGTGCCTCTAAACATGCTTTTGTGCCGAATCATGCGGTACGTGATTGCAGAAAATATACAGATACCCCACAACCATGTTTCACCTTATCGAAAGTATAAATCTCAAAGGGGAAACTAATGGCAGTCACTTGATGCATATCTGTCTAGACAACTTCGCACTCGACGTTTTTACTTTGAAAGGCAATTTACATGTTGAACTTTTTACACTGTAAAGTGTCTCTGCATATTTGCTTTCTTACTGACAATCAATGTGCCTAGCGACATTAACTAATAATTGAAGTGAAAGCAAAGCACTAAACTCTCGCTCTCAAGAACTCTATAAGTGACAATTTCACGTCTAAAACGTAAAGTGCTTATTATATCGGTTACTATGGGCTTGAACAACGCGATAGAGAGCAAACAAAGCCTTGCAGTACTGACTACGTTGCGCAGCTATGGAAACAAACACTAAAACTTGCATCACAGCCTCTTGCTAACAGCATTACGCAATATTTCAAACAGCAGCGCTAGGATATTGTGCGAATGGACATAAATCGTAAATGGGTAAGCTAACTAGGTACCAATTTTGAATTGTACAAACTCCGATGCGTCTTACGATGGGGGATAGACAAGGCGCTCGGCATGAAAGCAGTAATTGTAATGCCTTTCGGAATAGTGTAATTGCTGGCATTCCACCGAGGCGCAAGATGATTAATGAGGCCCAAATTATTGATTTTTCTTTAACTCAAATAATGCGGGATTTGCGGTATGTGTGCCTGAAAACTAAACCTAAAAGCACACACATAATTCACCTTGTCGAAAAAAACTCTTTCCCAGTGCTTATAGCCCCTTCAAAACGCAATAAAGTGCATACATAAATTCGCTCACTATTGATGAGATCTGAAAAAAAGCGAATTTTCAAAAGGAGCACCGCGACAAAATGCTGGTTCAATCGTAGTATGACGTCGTTTCGAAGTCGAAACCGGTCTCCTAGGCCGAACAATTCCCAAAAGATTTCGAAGGAATGGGTGTACGTATCCTTCGTTATTCATAATAGCAGTTTTTAATGGCAAGGCCATAGTGCGTCAAAAAACCCGAAATGAGAATGGGAAGCGTATGCAGAATGGTTTTTACTTTGAGAAGGCAGTCCCCAGCCGATGAATACAGCAATCGATATTCGTAAAGAATCAGTTAGACGATGAAGTACACAGTGTGGATAGAGAATAGGGATGGTTGAGGGATTTTTTGGGAATGCGGAAGTCGACACTGCAGTGGTGACGGCAGTAGTGCTTAGGAGAGAAATTGAGAAAGGGTTGTCAATAATGAAACTCGACTGTGGAGTCGAAAAAGTCATTAGAATGAATGCAAATCAAAGCCAGACAAAAACTGCCTACAAAAAAGCATTCTCTCTAAGAAACACACAGTCGGCTTTCTTTTCGAGATGCAACTTTTTTAGGAAATGAAGTTGTTTCGTGATTTACTCGGATGTCATTCTAAGGCAGCTACGGAAAAGAAACTAACTGACAATGAAAACTGAAACAAGGAAACTTCTGTAAATCATAAAAGCCTGGAACTTACTCCTTATATCGGACTACGAAGGGGCTTCGTCGAGAAGCAATATACGTAAGACGAAAATAGTGCTGCACCTTTATGTGCTCCATCCGCCATAAAACTACGATCGAAGTGAATTAAATTAAGCTATAGAATTACAGCGAAGAGAGTGAATAGAGAAAAAGGCAACAAAACCGAATTAACATTTGCAAAAATGCAAATGAAATGAAAGTCGTTTTCATGACATGGAAAATGATGAAATCCGCAGATATAATCCGAAAAAAAAACATCTGTAAATCAATCGAAATGGAATATAAAGTCGCATGACAGAAAACTCATGTTCAACTTGAAAATCTAATGAAACGTTCACATCGCAAGAAAACCTGTAAAAACTTCGAGATGTAAAAACTAGAGCGGCAACTGTTCTTTTTCATTCTAAAGCATTATATCGACATCGTAAAGAATAGAGCCACAAACTAGCTAGCTTTGCGGCTACATTACAAAAAATAGTATGTAGTTCGAAGTATGAATGTTCTTTGTAGGAGAATAAAGTGCATTAATCGCATTAAGAGAAAAAGAAAATGTTAGATGCTTGAAAAACAAGTGTCGTGTGATCGCAATAGCTATCATTAATGGGAGTGCAAAGCTTTTAGCTTGTAATTATTTGCACGAACAGAAAAGGAAAAATATATTATAGTGCTGAATGCAATTTCAAGATAAGGGCAGGTAAGAGCAAGCGGCCTTAAAGAGTAGTACTTAGCTAACGACCAAACAATCTGAAGAAGTTTCAGAGAATAAAGGGTAAAGCGAGCATCTATCATGGTAGAACAGAATACAGAAAATGTAGCCTGCGTGTAGTCCGGTTTGATGCCAAATAAAAGTATGGGATTTGTACTAATTTTTCCAAATATATGCAGGCTCTATTGATGTAAATGGTTAGAAAAGAAATAAGAAAGCATATCCATGCTGACGTACCTGGAATTGAAATTGATCTCTAATCAAAAAGCAAAATTTATCACGCGCTTCTGGGACGCGAATACGAACCTGTTGAATTCCAAAGACCTCGCGGATTTTTAGTATACGCATTGAAAAAATGACAGCCTGGAAAGTGGAGGACATCGAAAAATGAAATTCGTAAATGAAAATATTACGCACCAACTATGCAAGATTTGCACGAATGCTGACGTTTGAACAGTTTTGTAATACTGTGTTTGAATATGCGTGCGTTTGCAGAATTTGCAGAGGTTTGACGTCTGCACAGTGGGTAAAAGTGCGAATAAGTGAAGCAAAAAGGTGAAAAAAAGTACGAAGCAATTGTAGTTTTTACGGGGCGGAGTCAAGCGATGGGAATATGACGGGGCGAAGAGAGCGCGACATGCAACACGAATTAAATTTGGCGCGCTTACGTTACGCTGCGGCAACGGCGGGGGTCGCCGCCGGGGGATCGCCAAGTCCAACCACGAGTCGGTCGTTGGGCGGAGCGGACATGATGGACTCCGTCGGACGGGTAGAGGCCAGACGGGCGAGACAGGGCTGCGTTGCACCCGTTGACCGCTGTGCAAGCACGAAGAACAGCTAGCGGAGGGCGTGGAGTGGACGCGATGATCGCGCGCGCCACGACCGCCCGACGGCGGCGGCGGCGCGGCTGCCGCGCGCGCGGTGTCGGTGGTGATCATTGTGAAGCGCAAAGATGAGTACTGAAAGCGCATGCTAGACAGAGAAAGCCGAGTGCGGGAAAAACGCAAGGCGTAGGGGTAAATTTTGATGCAATTTAAACGTTTGCCAATCCTTTCCCACAATGCTCTAACAGATAAGGTTCATTTGTCCCTTCTTTAGTGCAAATGCACATCGCACATGGGATGCCACGACATTATGCACTGAAAGGTCTTTATAATTAGTCATGCTTCTTCATAAACCTGTTTGGAAGATAGTGAGTGCTCTTGTTTTAGACGAAAGGAATCTCCTAGCATTTCTTGTTTGCGAAGTCTTCAACGAGCAAATTTCTTTGAAAAAAATACTCATTCCGATAACCGTATACTGCATTGTAACTCGGGAGCCCTATGATTGAATAGTGATTGAGATATGATATCAGTCAAACTTAAATATGAAGTAGATGGTAATTTAGACCTTCTCGGAAAGATGTGCGCAAAAATTTCCTTGTATAATTACCACTCAATCCCCAGCGAACGCTTATTGGGATATGCGGAGAACAAGGCGTAATGCCGCGCACTGTGTGCAGCTGCACATATTGAGTAACGAACGATCCGACTACGCTATATCGACTGTCCTTCCTGCAGTGCCCTGAATATTTCAAAAATTGTCAGCAACTGGAAAAATTCACACTCTTTTGCAGAAGTGCATGTTCACTTTTGAAAATGCCAAAGTGCATTTCTAGTGCTAGAAAGAGAGAAAGCGACAGAAGAACAGAGAGAAGAACATGATGGGTCCTGATCAAATGGAGGTTGAATTATGTCTGGTATGGTTGTTTATCTAGCCAACCAATTCTGTGCAGGACCCGCGAAGTTTGCAAATGGGGTAGACTTGTACACAGTCCCGTCAGTTCTTGATTGATCTTTTGTGCGTCGTATCTCTGTCTGAATATTTCCCAATAAATAAACAATCTGTGACCATTGCTTTCTGGTTAGAAGAGGATGTATGGGTCAGTTATTAGTAAATAACCTGCGTCATTTGGTCGACAGCTGGGTGCCAAAATCAGTGATTTGGACAGCTGCCAAAAATCCTCGATAATCACTTCCATGACGAAAGCAGTTGCTGGCGATTCGATGTTTACAAGGAAAACGAGTGAATATGTAAGGGGTTATTTCCCGAAGATTGGTCAGTTTTAAAGAGTTTGTTTTTGTGAAACATTTGCTTTTTTTGTCAAATATCTAAATACATTTTTGCTTCATGTCCCGGGAGGTGAGCAGGAACTTCAAGCATCTGCTAGCAAAACTGAAGTCTCACCGCGTTTTATTTATATGGATTGCACTAAAGTGCAAAGTGACAATGTGCGGCGTCCATTTTTAGCAGCATTTTGTGCCATTGCAGACACATGGACAACAAGTTCACTCATGTCAAAAACGCCATTCCAGGATAAAATGCAATATCGAGACTCAAAAGTTCCCGATAAACTCCCTTGTAAAAATTTTTCATCGGATCTGGATGTGTAAAGTCTATCACTGTGGCAGAATGTTAATTTTTTTTCTTGAATTCTAGTGCCGAAGTCTTCAACTACGTCATCAAAAAAGTGTCGAAATCCTAGGCTCTAGGGACACCTCCAAGATTGTGCAAACATTTTACGCCTTCAAATTTTATATAAAATTTCCGCGATTTTTTTCATTAGGACTCAATATATTTGAATTATTCTGAAGTTTTCCAGACGCATCTGTAAGCTATTTTTTGTAAATCCCTCGAGAAAGCAGGGCAATTAGCAAGTCAATACTTCGCAGAAATTTCTTGCCTAGAAAAACGCTAGACAGTTGGAAATTGCAGTGAGAGTACATCACAACGAACAATCAGGAAAAATGACACTAACAAGGAAGTAGAGAACAAACCAGACACTCTAATTTTTACAACTTCATTTTGCCGAATGAATTTTATACTTTTTACCATTTCATTCTTGTCGCTCTAGTGAATGGAAAAAATTGATAACCAGGAAGTAAAAGGTGTCGCTCCTAGATAAAAAACATTTTTGTTTCTCTATCTATCTCTTCGGCAGAAATTTACTCATGTGGCAGGTGAATTTTGCTGACGGAAATCAAAAATCTAAGGTGAACCCTATAGAATAAAGGCCACTTGTTCACGCGCAGAGACCCCCTTAATAGCTGAAGTGAGGGGGCTTGTCGGCTCCCCGTTTCTAGCGTTTATTGAAAATTGCATTTGTATCGCGGCTTATAAATGCATGAATTCTCAGAATCGCAAAGATCGACTGGCGACCACAGCTGCCGTCGTCAGTCAAAAGCTTCTATGTATTCAAAAGCAAACAGACAGAATAGACGAATAGCACTGGAGGGCTTTTTTGGAGAAAAATTATTTTAGAACGACTCGATAATGAGATTATATAATCATATAATTGATAATGTCTTTATGAAAAATGGATTGGGAAGGGTTGAAGCGATAACTGTCGAAAACAAAATAAACCCCATATCGGGCACAAGCATAGGCATATCGATAGAGAGATAAGGAATGTAAGTGAACAAATATAACAACGATCAAGGTTTGATGTACGGGCGCATTGGTCTCCTGAAATTTAAAAAAATGGTCCCTGAAAAAGGGTAAAAAATAGGAGATTTTTGGAGATGAGCAAGTTGAAGCTAGAAGCAACAAATTCTCGTGCGCAAGTTTCTTTTGCCAAGAATAAACATTTTATAAGCTTTGTTACGCCCAACTTGGAAACTATATCATGACGGGTCCCTCTGTCTCTACCCCTTCCCCCTCCCTAATTTTTCTGTCTGCAGCATTTTTGTCCTGATTCAAATGCATAGTAAGCAAAAGGACTCTATCCTTAGCCTAACTCAAGCGGGCACGATGAAGCTACAACAGCCGGCACCTACTGCCACGCCCCTTTTTTACTCGCGCGCTTCCCTTTGAAGTGTACCAAATTTTCTTGACTATGCTGATGTTTAAAACTTTGCAGAGTTTACTTTGAAAAAAAAATTATATTTTAAATCTATGAGAAGACAAAAGTGCTGCGAAGGCGACTGTACAGCTGCCATCATTACGAAGAAAATTGTTAGTTATAAATCAGATTTATAAAAAATAATAACACCATAATCACGACAATAATAATAACAATAACAATAATAATAATAATAACAATAATAATAATAATAATAATAATAGTCGTTTCGCGCATGAATTATAAATGGAACGCCAACCATACAATTTCGGAGCTGAATGATGGATTATAATTTCCATCAATCTCCACTCTTATGTCGGAGAAAATGATGGATTTGTGTGTAATCATTTCTAGGGACTTAAGACTCGAGGCTGAATAAAGTGAGTGTTTCGAGGGAATTGTAATTCTAAGAATAAATATAATTGACCTATCTGCGTGGAAGTTTATAAGTAATATGTTAGAAGATTCATTTCTCTGTAAAAGCATTGTAGGTATTGAGATATAGCAAGTCATGTTCGATTATAATGCGATATTATTATTAATACCATTATTATTTTGACTCCTTTGTCAAAAATTCAAATTCATCATCGAAAACGGCTACATATTGTACAATACTAGATTCCTGTTTCTGAAAATATTTGAAATGACAGCGTTAGCCGAAAACTGACTTTCAGGACTTGAAGATAAGGGTCTAGTGAATTACATATTTTGAGCGGAAACCAACTTGAAAGGATTTCAACTTTTTTTGACAAAAAAAATTGCTAAATGAAGAAATCAAAATTTTTTTATTGTTATCACTAAAATCATTATTCTCCAAACACTAGAGAATTTTACAATCTTATCGAGTGTTGTGATCAGTTGCAGTGCCAGAATTTCCCGTTTCAAATAGTTTCTAAAAGTCCTACTGCACATGAGCTACGGTTTGCTTCGCGTCCATGATCTATCCCGAACAAGCTCGTATGTACTCATCAATAACAATGAATCCGCTTCTACTTTGGCTCCTACCCTGCAAAATAACGTATTCTTGCAAAAAAAACCCTACACCTCGACCACCCATTAACAGCTTTCAGGATCGACTGCTATGCTGAGGAGCTTCCTCGTATAAAGTCAATACGAAGAGTGCGAAGAGTCGATGAGAGTGTGTATAAAATAGCGAGCGAGAAAGCAAAATAAAATTTATTATGCCGCAGCGTCAGCAGCGGCCAACGAGCCGAGCCCAGCCCCGCTAAGCCGAGCAGAGCAGCAGCAGCAATGCTGCTGCGGTGGCCGACGACCGGACGGCCGGCCGGCCGGCCAGCCACAGCCCCGGCCAGCCCCTCCTCTCTCTCTCTCTTCTAAACGATATTGCCATCGATTTTAGCGAAATTGCGCTTTTTACGAAACTAGATGAAGGCAAACAGAGAAAACATAAGGAGTTGAAGAAGAGGGCAGCGATATGGCGCCCAGCGGAAAAAAACTCGGCAATTTG